GATTTTAGCAGCCGTTGTTATTTTTGAGATCACATTCTGTGCAAGTAACAAAGGGCACTCTTATACTTCGGTTGATTGTTCTGTTCCGTACTCTTTACAACAGTGCTTTCGTTATCCCCAGTTACAGGTAAGGAATCTGAGGTTTGGAGAGGTTAAGTAGCATATGTAAGATCATAAAGCTAGAAAGTAGCCCAGATCTAAATCTAAGGATAGGTTGGCTATGCTCTGAATTCAAAACGGCACTCAGTGTGTCTCTGTTCCTGTACCTGGGGGAGCTGTGTGTTACCCGTCTTCTCTAACCATCTGGGGTCAAATTATCCTATAGTTCTACTGAGAAAAGAGAAGTAAGTCAGAAGGGTGTGATTCAATGAGGGTTTTCTTTCTTTGTACAAGTAACTGACATGGTAATGAGTAACCAGCTAGTCTGATAACAGTGTTTAGTGTGTTTTGTGTCAGGGGTCACTTTTATAAATACATCTTTGGGCCCCTACATCTGATAAGGTCTAGACTAACGTGCAAATGGAACAGCAGTTTGAACTGAGTATGTCATCACGATGCATCAAGACACAATGAAAATCTTAAGTAGCAAAGAAGAAATTACTAAAATTGCATAGGTGCAGCTGGGAGCACAAGCTTAATAATTCAACTCAAGTTACGTTTAAAAAAATGTCTTTCAGCTTGTTAAGAGGCCGAGCTTCTGATGGCTTTCCAGTATATCAAGAAAAGGTCATTAGAGAAAGTATCAGAAAATTTCCTTACTGTGAAGCTACTCTCCTCCAGCAGCTGGTACGAAGCATTGCTCCTGTTGAAATTGTAAGGTTCTTCATAACTAAGTTAATTCTATCTGTGAGACCTAATTACCATAAAGTTGCATTCTCTTTAGCATGATTTATTTAATAAAGAAATACTATTTTAGAAAATTTTCAGGAGCAAACATGGAGATAGGTTTTCCTGTTAACCTTGTGTCTGTTTATCCATTTACATTATATAGCTCATGGGTTGAATGAATAGTATTTCCTTATGTTGGGATATAGCTAGTTATAGTGGGTACTGACGCTTTTAATTACCTCTATGAAATCTGTAAAGGTGGGTACGCATCCACTGTGTGGACACACCCTTATTCACGTGTAGGTTGTGAAAAACCAGTACAAAGTCCTGCACTACATGAAAGCAGGAATTGAATGTCTAGGTTGATGGTTCCCAGTCAGTGGAGATGGAAAGGATGAGTCCTGGAAAGGTGCATTGTGTATCCTGCTAAACAGTCTCAAAATACATCCCAGCTTCTTATATTCTACCTTAATGCCTCTGATTTTATAAATTTCCCGTACATAAAAAAAAATCTGTTTATATTTGCCAGTTATGGGAAGTAAATTTTAACTTTATTATCTGTTCTTTAAATTACTTACTGCCCTTTTGTCATGTATTTATCTAAGTAGTATTTCATAAGACACTCCCTGCCTTCCCGATTTTGAATGCCATTCTGTTCACCTTCTCTCTACCTGTCATGCTTTTTATACATTTCAGTCAAATTATCTATCAGCCTTTGTCTATTAGGCAAGAAATGGATCCTGAAACTATTCCCATCCATGGCTTCCGCCCTCCCACTGGCAATCTCGTTCCTCCTCTTCCTTCTCTAGGCTATTATATCATTCTCGGTCTGAAAAATCAGGACTAGAAATGGGTTCCAGGTGCTCCTTTATACATTAGGACTTCACCTATTCAGAACCTTGAAAGAAGAAAGACCTGAGCAGACAAAATGAACTCATGAAGTTCGTGCTATGATTTATTCATGAGAGCCCTCCGTGATTTCACATAGAGATTCTTTACACTTGCTCTTTAATATGCTTGGCTATTTGGTATTTAAGCTTTTGGGAGATGAAAGTTAGCCAGTTTGAAGGTGGTTTATCAATTATGAATGTGTTTCAGCTGTTCATATCGAACTTCAGCCAACTATGAATTAAATAGATAAGGATTTATTTATTCACATATACTCAGAAGCCCAAAAGTAGGCAGACCAGATCTTGCACATTGGTTCAAAAATGGATTTTGGACCCAAACACTACTGTTTTTCTACCCAATATTCTTTAGCCGTATAATCATATACATGCTTATGACATTACAATTGCAAGGCATCTTATCCTCCTTCTCCAAGCTCACCTTCCTATCCCAGGCAGACAAGAAAAGGAAATCAGTCTGTAGCTAGAAAGCACAAGCCCTCCCTGGAACGCAGTACTGGTACCACAGGACCACCCTTAGCAGCACCGGGAAAAATGAGTATTTTGGAGAAATGAGTATTCTGGGGGAAATGAGTTATTTTTTTTTGCTGGTCTCAACTCTGCTGCTCTGAACAAAAGTATGTTTCTGTTAGTAAGAAAGTTGGGGGAATGTCCATCCGAGAAGCCGTCAGTAGTGGCTGCTGTGGGGCATTTCCAGCACTGACAAGTGTCGCTGACATTGCACCTTCAAGGGAGAAAACAGAAAAACTAAAAATAGCAGCCCAGCGTATTCTTTTAAAAAGTCAAAGCAGGTCAGTGTAGGGCTCAACAATCCATCTCAACCCTGCCTCGTGGAATAATGTAGTTAGAGTGTATGGTGTATAATGATTGTTTTATCCTAGTGACTGAGTCATCAATAAAGGGTTTATTAATAAAGATAAGATACACATGAAAATTTAAATTACGAAAATTATAAAAATTTTTGTTGGGAATAAGTAAGCGAACTTGAAAAACTCAAAAATAAGAAAGTTAGAAATAGGTAAGATAGCTAGATACCCTGTAATTATTTCTGCTTACTCTAAATAGGTCTCATTCAGGCAGATAAATATTTGCCCTTATTATTTTCTGCATAAAAATTGTTTATAAATCCTCTTTAGCAAGACATTCTGATTTTCAGGAACCATAATAATAATCTTCACACTTACGGTTTTTCTTAATATCCTAATGTAATCACATGTGCGTCTCTTTAATTAAAGAATCTGGAACATTTCAATGATAAAGGTGATAACTTTTAACTAGTAGAATTGCAGACTTATAGCAAGTAAATAACTTTAAATATACAAAGTTTTTAAAAACACTTAAATTGCTTTAAACTTTTAAGAATCAAGACAGTTAAACATTTACGATATATCCTATAAATTGACCCTCAGAATATGTATATGTCTTTAAAAATTTTTTTAATTAATTTATTTAAGGGGGAGGTAATTAGGTTTGTTTGTTTGTTTGTTTGTTTGTTTATAGGGGAGATACCTGGGATTGAACCCGGACCTTGTGTATGCTAAGCATGTGATCTAGCACTTGAGCTATATTCTTCCCCCATATTGTCTTGATGTTAATTCTCAGAAGAAAATTCTACTCTGAGTTCCTTGTCCTAGTTCTAAAATCTTTGTGTGCTTATTGAATAATACTTTTATTCTAGAACAGGGCCAGTTTTTTTCTCTTTGAGTATTTGGATCCATGATTTACCTCAAGTGTACTTTGTGTAGAAAAAGATATTTGTTATTTTGCCATGAAGTCTGTGCAACCTCTAACCTTAATAATTTTGTCTCCTGTTCACAAAATGTTGTCTCTGGTCTTCCCATGGTGATTGCAGAGGTAATTTTTCCTGCTCTTTTTCCCCACTCCAGGGTTCTGATCCCACTGCATTCTCTGTACTTACCCAAGCCATCACTGGTCAGGTGGGTTTCGTGGATGTTGAATTTTGCACTACCTGCGGAGAAAAGGGAGCAAGCAAAAGATGCTCAGTGTGCAAAATGGTAAGAATGAAGTTCTTTTAAGCTCACTGACATCCGGTTTAGATTTCACCCACACTGGTGATTGAGTTTTAATATTCTGTAAATATATGGTTGACATTAGTTTTCTAATAAATTCTAATATGTTAGATAAAAAAGGTATTGCACCTAATACTTAGAAGTGATTTTGGAAGAAAACTACAGGATAAATCTAGTTCTGTGTCTTCTCTATCAAACTCCCAGGCTGCCCAGCTTCTCTGCTGACCACCCCAAAGAAAGGAAGAAACGAATGAATGATTCATTATGAGAAAATAAGAGAAAGATTATTCATAGGGGACTGAGGGTGGTGCAGACAAGAAAACCTACAGTAGAACAGTTCATAGATAAGCAATCTTAAATCTTCTGATGTTGACTTTAATTACAATCTCTTTATCAACTCTTCCTTGTAAAACTACACTCCTTTCTGACTGTCACCAATCTTTAAGCTTTTTGGAGTCCTATCCATTTCTGCCAGAATTATCTTTATAAAGGGCATATCTGAATGGATTCTTCTCACATATATTCTCACAAATATTACTCAAATGCAAGTATCTGTACATTCACTTTATAGATGATGTTAATTTTCTGTTGTTTTTAAGGTTGAAATTCTTCAGCATATTCTTCTGTAACCCATCATATTCTGATGTAACCTACTTGTCTGGTTTCATTTCCTTTAATTACTTCTCTGAGCCTCAGTTTCCTTACGTGTGAAATGGGGCTGGAGTTGTGAGAGTTAAATGAGACCATCTATGCTGGTTAATTATTGCTTTAAATAAAAACACTCCAAAATTCAGTACTTAAAACAACCACCATTTTTTCTTTCTCCCATGTTTGTGGTTGGCTAGGCACATCTGTTCCATGTGTTTCTCATCCTCCTTGGAACAGCAGGCCAGGCTAAGCATGTTCTCTTGGTGACGGCAGAGATAGAAGTAGGCAAGTAGAAACATATGAGGTCTCTTGCCTTGAAATTGCCGTGCGGTCTCATTCCTCTGGCCAAAACAAGTTGCGTGGCCATATTTAAAGTCAATTTTCTTCCCCTTCAGGGAAAAGAACTTTGAAATCATATGGGAAAGTGTATGGTATAGATGCAGGGAAGAGTGAAGAACTGGGGCCACTAATACAATCTATAACACCATCTATGTAGTGCTTGGCATATAATCCTGCAAAAATCTAAGCTCCACTTACACAAACTTACTGCTGTCCTTGAACACGTCTTCCCTGTTGCTGCATTTTGGTACACGGTATTCTGTCCACTTGGAATGTCTCTTTTCCATTTCTCTGTCCACTGAGTCCCTCCATTTAGAGTGAGTCACTGCTTCCTCTGTGCTCCCATTGCTGTAACATCCTGAACTGGGATATAAATCACATTGTCAGGGATCTGCCTCCTCCATCCTGCTCTTTCTCATCCTTGGCTTCCTCTGGGACAGCAGTTGTATCCTCTTTGTCCTTGTACTGTATCAATTCTGGCACATAGAAGTCTCAAATCACAAGTTAGTGTCTTTGGTAGACCCTGTGTTATATATTCATTATTGTTAGAAAGTATAAGCTAAAACTTACAACTGTAAATCAACACATATCTATACATCAAGGTTTTAAAATAAAGTATAGAAAACTTAACATTTTTACAGCACTGTACTTGGTTTCATGTCATAATTAGAAAATTAATGCAATTACGTATCTTGAAAAGAAACCTACAATTGCTTTCAGGTAATATATTGTGATCAGACCTGCCAGAAAACACACTGGTTTGCACATAAGAAAATCTGCAAGAATCTCAAGGACACTTATGAGAAGCAACAGTTGGAGGCTGCCAAAGAAAAGAGTGAAAAGGAAAACAGTAAGTGTATAAAAACCGAGCTCATACAGGTGGTCGGTGGGGAGAGGAAGGATAGATGATATTAACACAGGGGACACAGGAAATGAGTCTTCTCTGGGAACCAAGGAGGCTTGGGGTAAACCAACATAAGGATCACACTTAAACTCAAATGTATACCTATTTTGAGTCCCTGGGATATTGTATAATCAGCCTAGATATCACTGGAAAACAAAAGTCATAAAATTCTGAGGCTTGTAGTTTATTCCACATTCTGCTTTCTGCCTCATGAGACTGCCCTGGAACGATGCAACTCTTAATGAGTAGTTACTTATATTTTGTTCACAAAGGATTTTAAGATCTTTGAATAAGGAAATAATTAAATTTCCCCTAATGGCTACCCAGACATTTTAAGGTTGGAAGACTTTAAATTTCTTAATTATAAAACTGCAGGTGAAATTACAGCATAAGTTTATAGATTACAAATTAACTTGCAGATCTAGTGCACGGCTTAAATTTCTACAAGTGTCAGGGCAGTGAGTTCTATATTATTTTTCCTCTCCCTCTTGAAGTATATGACTCATTTTCATCAGAAACAGTGAGTTGCTTCAGCAATGATATGCATATTGGACAAGAGAACAGCCCACACTCCTACTCTTTACCCCAGAGAATGTATCACACATTCTGGGGAACGATAGTCTGAAAAGGTTGGTTGCCTTTGATGATTCTGACACTAAGACTTCCCCCACCACTCCTCAAGGGACCATGTCCCGTTTACCACTTGGTTGAGAAACACCATTAGTGGAAATGAATGATTTGTACAAAACTAAATTCATAGCAAAGTAAGATTGTATAAATAAATTGTTAAGAGAATAGTCAGGTTTTCTGGCTGCCATGCTTTCTCCTGTTTTCTGGACCAAACATTTATTATCCTGTGGGTCGAGGGTGGTGAATAGCAGCTGGTCACGTACTGAAGAAGCCATGTGAGAGGACAGGATTGTCAGCAGAATGGGAGCTCCTGGTTGTTATACATCAGCATGTGCCACACACTGTTGTACACCTTGATTCTCCACAAATGTAGGACAGACTTTATTATCCCCCAGTTTATAGATAAGGAGACAGCCTTGTTTGGGCAGGAACCCAGCAGAGGACACCAGGCTCATTCGTGGCATAGCTGCATTCAAACACAGATTTTGCCAATCAGCAATCCTGATTTCAAGGCCTGGCTTTGGCAGCCAGAGGCCTGAGTTCAGATGCCAGTTATGTTGTGTTACAGGCTGTGAACGGTGCGCAAGTTACCAAACCCCTCTCTTCTCAGTTTTCCCATTTGTAAAATAATGATCACAATGATAATAGAGATAATAATCTCCCTCGTGGTTGTGATGAGGATTAAATAAATTAATACACAAAAGCACTTAGAAGAGTGTCTGGCACATAGTAGGAACAAAATGACTTTTTTTTTCTTTTTATCAGATAGCAAACTTGACGTCAATTCGAATTGTGTTAATGAGGAGCAGCCAGAGGCTGAAGAGGAAGTCTACCAGGAGGACTGCAATCCTGGAGATTCTGTGGAAGGGGGCAAAGAGTCTCTTCAGAGTGATGCTGGGCTGGGAGGCTTACAGGAGGCTCCTGCCGGTCCACAGGTATCTGAGGAGTAAGAGGCAGAGCACGTGCCAGCGCGGACAGGCCTCATCGTGGCAGGTAGCTGGAAAACACATGTAACTGTGTCCTCCTTGCCTCGACACCTGCATGGCACTGTGACAGGATTCCACATTTCATAGAATAGATGCTTTCCAGCAAAGCTCTGTCTACTATGCCCTCATTTCCTACTGAGTTCTGTTCTATAATTGGACAGATATTCCTAGGGGAAAAAAAATTGTTTTTTTTTTTCAAAATATAGGGGAAACATTTCTATCCCCTTTTTGAGGCAAGCTTCCCAGCAGTTGTTCTCAATGGAAAATAAATCTCCTTTTAAAGAAGAAATACCTGCTCTAGGGAACAAAGAGGCGAGCAGAACAGATGTAAGAGAGATTTTCAGGAAAGAAAAATGTTATAGCCACAGAGATGGGAAGCTAAAAAAATCATAACTTATATGTAAATAAAATGCATATAAATAGCATCTTCAGCAGTGAAGTTCTACGTATTAAGGTGCAATGAAATGAAAAACGACTTGTTAAAGAATCTTTGCCATAGTTCAGCTAGCTGTAGTTTTCTACAGAATTTATCCCGAGCAGCCTGAACTTTATGTAGTTCCTGCAGTGACATTTTATCTGCAGCATTTGTACCTTCAGAAATGTCAATCCCCCAGGAAGAACTAAGGCATAGCCACGGTTATCTCAGCATGTGCATTAAAAAAGATGTTTCATGAAGTTATTGATTAAACAAGGGTAAACAGACTGTGTCCACAATTATTGTAGAACTAATTCATGTGCCATATTCCACTTTTATCTTCCTATGAGCTTTTCATGTGGTTCTTCCTGTCCGCACACTGATTTATAACTGTCATTTATAGACTGTCCTGGCACCAGGCTTTAGTGTCTGCAATGTCTGAATAGAGCTGGAGTGTGATACCTGGAGATAGGGCTGTGTTGCACAGTTTCTTATGCTGACTGTAAAATAAATTGTGCCTACTAATATAACCAACTCGTACCTTGTTTCATAGTTTATTGCTGTCAATGGGTGGCAAATATTAGGGAACTTAACAAATTTTAGGAAACTTAGCATGTACTGGAGAACATAGTAATGATTATTTTAACAGGTACAACTGAAAATCAAAATGACTAGAATCCTCATCCCACTTCACGGATCACATTCTTCTGTCCTCCAGCTTTTCCTCTTACTTGCGCTCGGCTACTTTTCTCCCAGCCCCAACACATCCACCTGCTGCACACCCTGTACTAGGCTGCTCTAGGGAGGCTTCACGTGAGGAAGTTTGCTGTTAAGTGAGTAGAAATCCAGCAGATTTTACCTGAACTTGTCAGTCACAACAAGCTTCCCTTCACTCATCAAAGTACCTCATCTACACACTGATAAACATTTATCTTTGACTAGAAAAACAGGCCTCCCAGGCCTTCCTCTCCTGCAAGTATGTTTTTTAACCTAGTTCCTTGATTTTTAATTATTTTGGGGGGGGTGTGTTATCATTCAGTGTTGTCATCATGGTCTCCGTCTTTGGATAGCATGGAGGGTTGTGGAAAAAAACAGAAGGGAACAGGAAAATCAAGAGATGTGGTGATGTAGAAGGAATTTTCCCCTTCACTGAAATGAATGCCAATATGAACTGGAACTCTGACGCAGCTACCACTGGCATGAATAGTAACTTTCCAATTGGACAAAGAGGACTTCACGTATAAGCCATGTCAATATCAAAATTTCCACGGATGTATTTCAGTGAAGGGTGGTCATAAAATGGGGTTAAAGAGAAATGAAGTTGGGTCTGATTATAATCCCATAGCCAAAAATAGATGTTTCCATTATAACATCATCAAAACAGTGGGCATCTGTTGTTTTTTTTTTTACCATGTTGAATTACTTTCAATATGCCATCAAGAAAATTTCTCAAATAAAAATAGGACCTAAAAGATTAGAGTAGTCTTACTGTTCCAATATGTCTTGTACTTAGAGCTGATTAAATTAGCTAGTGGGTTTATTAGGAAATTGGATTCTGCTTTTTGATTCAACAATCAAATAATAATAGTGAAGACCGAAAGTTACTGTATCCTTGAAGTTATCTTGTTCAATATTCACAACACCCCATGAATCAGGCTTTATTTTTATCCCCATAGCACAGATAAGGAGGTTAAAGTCTAAAGAGGTCAACTAACTTATCCAAAAGTACAGAGCTGGAACTCAGCGAGGTCTGCAGTTTTGACTACTACGTTGTACACTGTTAACTTATTACGGTCACTGTAGTTTCTCTGCAGACATAATAACAGAGCTCTGAAGACAAGCCATTATTTTATAGGATGTGGTGGCTCTTCCCTAGGCTCTCAAAAAGATGACTGATTTTAGTCATCCATCATGTATGTGACTTTACTTGAGTTTTAATATTATTGGATGTTACACTTAATAGAAATTCTTGAAGTAGATACTCTTGCAGTGATTTTATCTTCTCAGGATCTCATCTCCCCTGCCTCGGAAGCAAGTCAGCCCCTTCCTGAGTGGGAGCTAGATGTCTTCCAAGTCTCGTGGTCTTATGGTTGCTGTTTTATGCCTCCTTGACCACATCTAGGCCAGTTAGAGTACTTCCCAGAGGTGTTTACATTCCTGAGGGCAAAGAGGGAGGGTTTTTGTTTGTTTCTCCCGGGGGACAATGACAAATTACAGGGATTCTGTTCCAGAGCTGCTGGAGCTCACACATAGACGTACCTGAGAGAGTGCATCCACTGAGCAGATACAGGAGAGAGAGAGGGAGGAGCACTGTCGAATCCATTGGGCTCTGATCGTCTACACTGTGTTTATGGGGTTTGGTTACTTGAGCAAATAAATTTCTCATTTGGCTTTCTAGAAATCAGAAACAAAGAATTCTTATTAATACGTCTTGCGACAACTAGAGAACATGGAATCAAATTTCAAAAGTTAAATAAATATAATTAAAAGGAAAATGAAGGCATATAATTAAAATCTTTGAGATTTATATGCTTTTAGAAAAAATACAATGGCAGTTCAGGTTTTTGATTACATTGTAGTTAACCATTTTGGTTGGAAAAGAAACTACCAGTACAAGGTATTTTTGTATCTCTTTACCAATGTTTATTTTGGAAAAACTAATATTTGCTTGATACTGTATAGTGATTAATGTATGTTTATGTAGACTGGGATAATATTAAAGCATCATTTACATAGATGAAAAGAAAGATCTTAATTTAGTAAAAAGCAAATTTCTTCCTTCTAATTACTTCAGTAGATAAATGAGATTTCTTCCCCCTCAAAAGGTGGCTCTAGCCTAGTTTCTATGTCCTTTAAGGACAAAGTTTTAGTTTTATAAATTGATAAGGGCACCTTTTTAAGTGGTTATCTTAATTTTTGTAGAATAAATCAGGTAGCTGATTTATTGACCAATTCAGGGCAGTATAACTAGCCAGTTCATAAAGTCATATAAAACTGCTTAATCCCAGGATGATTCCAAATGGATGATTTAAATGTGAAAAAGAATTATCAATTCTGGAAGAAGCCATCAAAGAATTCTTAGTGCCTTTGGCATGAAGGATGCTTTCCTAAATATGATACTAAATCCAGAAGCCACAAAAGGAAACAAATTCAGCTATATTTAAAAAAAAAAGGGGGGAGGTTATAGCTCATGTAGTAGAGCACATGCTTAGCATGCATGAGGTCCTGGGTTCAATCCCCACCGCACCTC